TGTCATCAGAGCAAAGCTGCACTGTGACAGACATAAAGAGAGGAATGTTTGACATGAAGTTAGACACTAAAAAGGTAAGCGCTCCATGTCTGATATAAGATGAAGAGTTAATAATTAAGAATAAATGACATACTGTAAATAATTGCCAATAAAAATCATATATTATAAAAATTAGCAGCCACAATGATAACAGAATATTTATACAGGGATGTATAAAGACCGCAAGGCTTTCTTTTTAAGGACAACCTGTTCACACTCACAGTATAACCACAGTCTGATCTGTTGGCCAAGTTGGGAGCTAAGGTGACAGAGAGGTAAGTGCTGTCCTTCTACTCTGCTTATCCCAACTGTACCAGCAACCTTTCTGTTCTTTAACACTCAGGCCAGTACAGGCTGGTGGTCAGTTTCCACAGGGACAAACTAGCTGTACACCCAGTTAATTAATCTTTAGTGAGCAAACATTAGACAGAATTGGTCTTTTTGTGCATATTGTGTTTCTGTGTCACGTATGCCATCTTTGTACAGGAGATGCATTTATGACACAGGTGTACTGAGGGTGCACGCCAGTCTGCACTGTATTTCAGTAAACTAAACTGTTCAACCAAAGAATGACAGAATTACATTACATGATTACCAAATAAAGTTAAGTTGTGGTTTCACTTTCCTCCTTGCTGACTGGCTTGCCTGTGTCAATCTTTCAGATAAACTACAGATTTGACCTGCAGCGCTCTATCGGTCTGAATGGAGTATTAGTGCCCATATTGTGGAGCAGCACAGGTAAGTGACTGGTTTGTTGACTTTGTAGTAAGACAAGACTTTCTTTTTAAGTTGCTCTTGCTGAGGAGGAAGAAGAGCAGGTAGAAGATGTCCAAAAACCTGAGAGCTGTCCTCCCGATGAGGAGGAAAAAAATGTTTTCCCCTCCAAACTGAATTTGTTCTAGGTATGCCCTACTGTTACGATGAAACCAGAGTTGACGTTTCTAGGTCAGATCAGATGGCAGATGATAGACAAATGTGTAATGCAACACACCGCTCAAAAACCTGCCCCACATTATTCCTATACATCAGTCCTAAATCATTATGGAGAAAGATAGTTTCTCTATCTTTAGTCTCTCTGTTGTGCGGCTTGCTCCGATCCACTGTGTTTGTTTTCCATTTACTATAATCCAAAGTGTCGGTATTTGACGACCTGGGAATGAAACAAAAACAAACTCTTTCTCCTGACCCCACCTTCAAAACTTGAATATGCTCCCAAATGCCTTTAAGGGCAACCTTAACAAACTGAACCAAACATATGTGAAAGCACCTTGCAGCTTTTCATCTTTCACTGAATACTTGTGTAAGGAAGTCAATCTGGAATGCTATGCTAATATTTCTTATAAAACCAGTTGAGAAAACCTGGCTAAATAGCATCAGCCTGTAAACCAAACATCTTTAATGTGAGGCAATGTTTCTGTTAAGCCTTATTACTTCTACAGTAGATATATCAAGGTGTGATTAATATCTGATGTCATAAATATGCATAGCTATGTTTGTGCTACTTACAGTGTCATTAAAGTCTAACTGTCCTGAGCCCCTCATAACATCATCAAAATGTTTCTGTCCTCTCTTGGATTCTAGTTTGTTTTCATGAACAAATGTATTATTATAATATTAATATAATATTAATAATAATATTATTAATATTACTCAGCATTAATAGAAGAAAATAAGAACAACCCTAGGTTCCTCTTCAGCACTGTAGCCAGGCTGACAGAGGATAGTCACAGCGTCTATTGGCCATGTATCCCATGAGACGTTATGAGCAATGACTTCATTGACACTTCTGTTTATAATAAAATGATTAGTGATTAGAGAGAAAATTAGTCCACCAAATACCCTCAACTAGGTATGCGGTGTAGCTTCCAAAGATCAGAAACTTGTAACTAATGGCAACCTCAGATTTATAATTTAGAATGTGTTTTGCTGCTACCAGTCCTTCATCAGCTTAACTTCCAATAATTCTCTTCACCGAAGCCATCAGACCTGTCTGTTACGATCACCATCCCAACTAGGCTGCTTAAAGAAGTTGTACCCTAATTGGCACTTCTGCGGTTAGCTACGACGTGATGAGGTGGTGGTAAATCCTTTTTTGTGAGTGCGCGACATAATGTACCACAGTCTTTAAGTAGCTGTAATTAAACCCTTCTTTAAAAGCCCACTCCGACCAGGGTTCGTTGAGCCACACATAGACCCATTTCTAACCCTCCCTTCCCTCTAAGATTCTGAAAAAATAGTTGCCAAAACTCAGTCTGTGTTGACTTTCTCGTACATAGAGAATAATTTAGTTGCAGGATTTTCAGTCCAGGATCATCAACAGCACAGACCTACAGGCTCTGGTTTAACAGTTAAGCAACTGGCACCTCTGATTGCTTGCTGAAAGTGGACTTGTCTCCTGTACCTTAGTGCTGCATTTTGACACCACTTGACCATCAATTATTCTCTTTCACAAAAGCTTGAGCATTCAAATTGGCATTAACAGGAGACCGCACTAAGCTGATTTAGGTCCATTTAGCAGATCCGTTCACAGTTCTGTACAGGTTTAACGATGAATCTTCAATACAATCCTACAGTTAGTCAAGTTCCACACAGGGTTCTGTAACTTGGCCCAGATACTAGTGTTACTGTCCCGCGCCCCTGGAATATGCTCCCTTTTAGGCAAACAATTATTAGGAATCAGTCCATTGAAGCGCGTGTCCATTGCTATGCAGATTGCATACGCAGTTCATATTCTTACTCGATCACCAGGCCCGATGAAAATTAATCAATCTTATCTAAATTACAAACATGTCTTAAGATATAACAATCCTGGGATGAACTTGCAACTTTCTGATGTTAAACTTTCAGAAAAAAACGAACAATTACTTATACTTGGCCCCAAAGAACCTCAGAACTCGACGTGGTCTAAACGATTATAGCGTACCTCGTAGAGGCATTACTTTGGCCTCTAGTGCCACTGTCAGTTATCTTTGATCAGGACTTGTCCATTAATTCCCACATTTAAGCAGATCTCAGGATGCCTTCTTTCATCTTATGTAATATTACCAAAAATTAGAACCACAGTCCTGTCACAGAAAGATGACAGAAACAATTCGTAATCCATGCATTTGGCTTACTTCAGGCTGCATTTACTGCAACTCTTTCATTATCAGGTTTGGCCCTAATAAGTCCTTTAAGACGCTCCAATTGAATTTTCAAAACGCTGCAGCACGAGTACTGACAGGAAATCCTGCTACTAGCTTCCTACACTGGCTCCCTGTAAATTTAGAATTAGAATTTAAAATTTTCCTCACGTGTTACCAAGTTCATTGTTCCAATTTTTAATGTATGGTTAGTTTCGTTTATGCCAATTTTTAAGGAAATTCCCTCAAGGAGGAATTAAGAAGTTGAATTGAATGCATGTCCAACTCTTTAGGCATCGCTCTTTTTCCCCAGTCAGTTTCTCCTGGCAACAAGTCTACCATTTAATTTGGTTCAGCTTTTTTTTACTTTTTTCGTCCATTTTGTCTTGAAACTTCAACGCGTTACAGCACCTGTTAATAAAGGTTGTGAAATATGAATTGTTTTATGTATTGTGTTTAGTGTTAATTTTATTGTTTTTCAAGTAGGTTATGGAGGACATTTAAAGCGCCTTCATTTATTAGTTTACAAAAGCATTTTTTTATAGTTACAATAAGCATTGTTTATTTAAAGTCCCATTGATTATGCAAGTCTATTTTTTATTCTTGTTCAGCTATGGAACCAATAACATTGCTTGAACCACATCAGAGCTCGGGAGACTGTGGCTTACGAGGTAGAGCCAGGTCGTCCACTAATCGGAAGGTTGTCTAGTTCTTGTTATCCCGAGGGAAATTCAAGCATCCAGTAGCAGCATACAAACGATACATTTGATCATTACATTAATTAAAAGTAACTATGTGCAATTCAAATGAGGCTCCC